AGCTCAGTGCTGGTAGGTTCACCTCTTCTAGGTTTTCCTCAAGACAACACACACCATAACAGATCAGTTGTTTTAAAGCAGTTTCCAGGACCACTTAAAATCTTACCGACTACGTCTTTGCAAACACCATTTTGTCAAACGTTTTACCTTCACTCAGGCTTTTAAGAACTGTTGTAATGTTAGTTTCAGGTTTCCCTAAAGGGAATCTATTTCTAACAAGTATTAATACTGTATGCTTGCATAGCAAGCAGAAGATGTTCTAGATAAGCATTTCTAGAAACTTATTTTGAAATCACATGACCAGTCGTATAGTTTCTACATGTCATCTATCAAACAAGGAACACTACTATAGGATTGGAGACTATCAATTCGAAGTTTAAGATAGGAGAAATAACAAGGGTAGTTCTGACGACCTCAGTCATCTAAACACTATGCACACCAACCGAATTTGCAGGAAACATTAACAAAAGGCATGAAAGTAAGAGGCATGAAAACAGAGACAAATAAAAAGTGATTTGAAAAAACAGCAGTAAAATACTAAATTAGTTTGGCATAAAGAGTTAACAGTTTTCTACAAAAATATGGAAGATCTAGTTTATTTGCCTACTCAAGCTAGACTCCACGAAGACATCTGATGTAGTAGCATGCAGGAAATAACTAGGAGACTCAGGTGACTAGGAGAAGATGTCAAGATACCTGAGGAATTGACTACAGCTTGCTATGGACGTAACAGGACTGAAAATATCAGCTTGGATGGAGGTTACCTCTCCAGGAGTTCTAAGAATCCACAAGACCAATCTTGTACAGTGTCTTCAGCAATGCTTTAGTCAGAAAGCAAGGGTTTTCTAGCAAGCTAGAGGCAGTGGAAGAAACAGCTAATTAAAAATAATGGAAACTGTATGAAATTTAGTAGTGTAAAAAAAAGAGTACATTTCTACTAGGATCTCAGTGTTGACATCTGGCAGAGAGGGAGAACAGAGAAGGCAAGGAGTGCAGGTGTCTTAGGTGGTCACAAGAGCATTTGTACGGTAAGTTCAACAGTTGCAATATGATCCAGATGCACGGACATAGCTCTCTCCAGCACAAAGAGGGAAACTCTCATCTGGAATGGTATATTTAAACTAATCAAGCATGCTCAGCATTCAAAATGTAAGACAACACAGAAAATTGATAGCAGGGGACAGAAGGAATGGAGATTTTATGCAAGACTGAAAATTGTGGTCTGAGTAATGGCTGGGAGAAAATACGACTGCTGTCAGCACATACAGCGGGAGAGCAAATGTAAGCAACAGAGGTAAACTGCTGCATCTAAGACCAGTGAAACATCACTGGCACAAAAATCAACTAGTCATAGACATAGTCGAAGAAAGGCCTCAAACATCAGAGCACTTAAGACTCCAGGACCTACTTTCAATATCTTTCACTAAGAGTAGAAGGAAAATAAACTTTATTTTATAAGGCTGGAGACTAAAGATTCCTAGAGAAGTAATTAAATAGGATGATTGCTTACAAATCAGGTGACCCTTTGTTTTAAAGCAGCAAGGTCCTAAAGTTGGAAAGCCTTTTATAATTATACAGAACTGATCTGTTGTGTTCAGTGGTAGACATAAGTCTCTAGCACCAGGGTAAGACTTTAATTCCATCACACTCAACGCTGGCTCTTTGAGGGAACAGTAGCAACTTCCCATCTTTCAGGCTGAAGTCTAGGGTTTTGGGTTGTTTTTTTTTTTTTTTTTTTCCAGGGCAACCTTTTGCAGCACAGCTACCTCCAAAAGACAAAGTAAAGAAAACCCAGGATTCTTCGCGTAGTTGTGTACCAGATTAGCAACATGAACACATTGTAGCTAGCTGCTGCAAGACTCTTCCTTGCTGGACAAGTCAGCAGGTTACATAAGCTTTGAATTTTTAAGCACGCTAGCTTACCATCAGATATGTGAGCCAGGGCAACCTTTTGCAGCACAGCTACCTCCAAAAGACAAAGTAAAGAAAACCCAGGATTCTTCGCGTAGTTGTGTACCAGATTAGCAACATGAACACATTGTAGCTAGCTGCTGCAAGACTCTTCCTTGCTGGACAAGTCAGCAGGTTACATAAGCTTTGAATTTTTAAGCACGCTAGCTTACCATCAGATATGTGAGCCTGAGGCCTTAGAACAATGGGGTATTTTCAAAAAGAATTCGAAATGCTCCGCATGATATTGCTTTATAAAAGATAATGGCCTCATTTTACTTCCCGCTTTGCAGCAACAAAAATTTCTGTTATTTACAAGCTGATAATGTGTTTGCTTGTATATAGCATTTAGGAACTGCATTATAAACGTACAAGGGATTAAAATCATTGGGACTTAAAAGGCAAGTTTTTTAAAGGGCACATGTAAAATGTAGAGAAATAAGTGTTTAAAGAAACAGAGAAATTCCATTGGAAAGTAAGAAATACGTTTCTCAGCAGTTTCCTTTTTCAGCTGTGTTTCCAACTCAAACATGTCTTTGTACCAGAACAAAGATACATGAAAGTGAGTGAGTAGAAATCAATTACAAAAGTGAAACTATCTTGTCTGTTTTTACTATTTGAGAAAAAAGGTTTTCAAACACCTGTTCTGTATGTCTGGGCAGTTAAAATTATTTGTGTTACTTAAACTTAGAAATCCTTTGATTAGTTTATTTTTCCACTGGTTAAACTGCAAGCAACCTAGTCAGAGAAATTTACTCTGAATAAAAAAGGATGCTGTTGGACATAGTGATTTCCCTTCAACGTTCTTCATAAGGGTAAGAGTTGTCTTGCGTTTGTACTTCTAAAACGCCTTCCACAATGCAGTGCTGACCCGTAACAAGGAACATAGGCATTATCACAATACAAATAAAGGCACAACTAACTGCTGGATACTGCCTGTGTGCGTATCAAGACAAAAATAGAAAAAAAAAATACAAAAGAAAGAAGTCGTATATATTCCTTCATGATACATATATCTATTAAATTTCTCCATCAAACTGTTACACATGATCTCTTTCAAGACTACTGTGAACAAACACATACAGAAATTATATACTTCGTGTAAACTTAACCATAAGAATTCAAAAAAGTAGTTAAGAAACAAAGAGGTTCCAGCAGGAACAACCACCAAACATTGGAATGCAACATCTCAAAAGTTTTTTCTTCATTTATTAGTATTAATTTAAATTTATGCAGTACTATCCCCAGCTGAACCTCAGAAGCTGACTCTTTGCTGGATTACATTTAATAACTGAGCCACAAACAGACCCAGGTAAAGTACTGACAATTGTGTAATATGGCTCAACCAGCTAAATCAGCCACAATTTCTTCAATGTATGTAGAAACACGCGGTATGTTGGATTTTTTTTTTTTTTGCAAACATCAGCCCCATGGTTTCAAGTACGATTCTTTGATTAGTAAAAGATTCAAAAAGGCTGTTGGACTTAAACTGAAGTGTCAAAATAGGTCAAAATTATAATTCCTTAGTTCTCCCAGGGGAAATTCCCAGGATTGCAGAGATGCTCATGCCAACTCAAAAATCATGTTGATCAGAAAACATACCCCATTAACCACTTAATTTTTGCCTAGCAAAAAAGTGTTTCTGTGGCTACAGTATAATCCATTCCAATAGCTGCTACAGGGAGCCAAAGACTCAGACCAACAACTGACAGCCTTACTACATTTCCTCACTCCTGTTATCACGTACAGAAGTTGGCTGTACCCGACATTGCTGGTAACACAATGAGCAGTTTCAGATGCACCCCAGAGTTCCTGCCATCAAGGAGATGTTATCTTACGTATCTTTCATATCAAGGTGCAGGAGAAAGAGGCAAACACTGCTGGTTTGAAAAAAATCGATTAGGGATCCAAACAAGAGGACTTCCCAAGCTTTGCAAAATTAGCGAGCGTAGGGGCCAACTTCAGCAACACTTAACATACTCATGCACTGGCTTGGTTAACAGGAAAAAGTACCACATCAGCTTTTAAAAACAGGGCACAGGAATTATTACTCGCAATGTTACAAGGGCTTTTACAAGTTTTTTTCCCACACTTCGAGAAAGTTGAAGCAGTTTCTTAACTGCATGACATGTATGTTCCCCCTTCCCCTAAAGGGACTAAGCTATGCTTACATTTTAAAAACTGATGCTACATAGAAAAACAACATTGATGATAGAATCTCCCTTCTATGAGGCACATACGTTGTTCAAATATTGCTTGAGAACAGTGTGATAAAGAGATGTTTTCCATGAATCAGAACCCATCAGGAACAACTTAGAAGTTCTTGATATACAGCTATTCTAGCACATTTTTTGTAATAAACTGTTTAAATTAATAAGCCACTTTCATACTATTTCACCGTCTTTCAAACTTTTGTAACAATGTTTGGAAAAACAAATATTATTCATTAAAAAGTCATAAGAATCATCAGCCGTGCATACAACATTTGGTCACTTTATATTAAGAGTCCATGTATTAATATATTCATGACATAAAAGGTAGAGGCTTTCACGAATCATTAACCTACATTATTAACTGTTACGGCATCCAACAGCTTGCTCATGGTAATAGCATGTAGCTACCTATTCTACTTTGTATTACCATGGTCACACCCCTCTGTAACATGCCCATAATGTGTTTATAACTTGCAACAGTTCATAAATGATTTATAAAGAAATCTTAAAATGAAATATGCCCCTGTATCTTTTTTTTTTAAACCATCTGGGCTCTGAAGACACAATATGTGAAAGCACAAGGCAAAGACGAAAACAAGATACATCTGATTTTAAGACGATAGATGAAGAAAAAGGGCTTTTGTTTTAAAAAAAAATCTCCAAAGTATTGATTACTCTCAATATAAGCTAACATTGCAACAGCATGATCATGAGCATCATTTTATGAAGTTTTAATGGAGAAGGGCACCTGTAGAAGTGGCAGTTTATGTATACTTAACTGAACTACAAAATGAACATAAACATATAATTAAACTTTCAATCAGTGTAATCGCTTACCAATTTCAGCAGGTAGTTGCTTGATTTTGTTCTCTCGTATGCTAAGCATGGTGAGTTTTGACAAGTTTTTGATATCCTTTTCCACAGTAGTTATACGATTAAAGCGTAGGTAAAGAGTGGCAAGAGAGCTTAGCCTATACACCACCGAAGGGATTTCTCTAAGTTTGTTATGCCGCAGGTCAAGCATGCGCAATTTCTTCAAGTTATCAAGAGAGTCAGGCAAACTGGTGAGTGAGTTCTCACTCAGGGCCAGTGTCATCAGGTTCACAAGACAGCCCACCTCTGCCGGTAGGGACTGCAGTTTGTTACTGTATAAATAAAGTTCTGTTAACTGCGTTAGCTCTTTGATAGCTGATGGAAGCATGTGTATAGACCTCTTGGACAAGTCCAAGCGCATTGAATTCTCTTCCCGGCATTTATTTAACTCTTTGATCACTTCAGCATTGCTGGATTTTTTGCGGGTACCTGTGGCTGGATTAGGTCTTTTTATCGTATTGTCCACTGAAAAAGCTACCCCAGGCTGCGTGCTACTGGAGTCCTTCTTTCCATCTTTGGCATCTTTCCCTTTGGTCTTAGGCTCCTTTTCTTTGCTCTCTTTCCCAAATCCTCCAGAGGCTTTGGCCTCCTTCTCCCTTTCTTTTGACGACGGGACTTTTGGATCCTTCTCTTTACAGTCCTTTTCTTTTCCTAGATTACTACTCATGGTGACTCAACGTTTAGCAAGCACCACATGAAATCTGTTTCTGAAGTTCACAAGAACAATTCACTGCTGAGGTGACAAGGATCCTTAAAACATGCAAGTGCTGAACCAGGGGAGGAGCTTCAGAGGTGTGATACCCATTTGCTACATATTGGTTCTGAAGGCACTCTTTCCTAATCCTGGTATCAGGAGATTCAGCTGTAGAGATTAGAAGGTCAAATGCTCCGTATTAGTATTTCTGTAACACAGAGAGAAGACAAGCCGAAGTTAGTGTTGAATGTTTCTACATCATGCCTGTGCTCACCAACTCAGGTTAATGATTTGTCCTTCTCTTCAAATGTCAATGAAAAACCCAGGGCTAAACCAAAACCCACTGTGGCAGAAGAGTTATACTAATTAGTATACATGAGGAAAGAAAAAGTACAATTCTTAAACATAATACTGCCTTCAGTACTATATTTGAGTCACAGTCTTATGTCATAGCTAGTTCTTAGCATAACAGCCTGGTCATCAACATGAATATTCTCTCTCCCCTCCATGCTCAATCAGTCAGTAAAGATTTGCTCTAATTTTAAGTGCCTGCCTCTTCAAAAAAATCTGTACAGGCTTATTTTTTCAGCACAAAAGAGTCTCAATTCAATCTACAGTGAAATCTAATATGCTATTGTAACATGAACACTCCACCTCGAGATCTCCCTTCTGACCGGCTCTGAACCGCAAGTCTCTGCTTTTAATGTGGAGCAGAATGTTGTCACCAGCTTCACATACTTTGAAGATGCAAACACGAGGATTTTTAAAATAAACCTATCAAAAAGTCAACTGAAAGCTCAGAAGAAATAATATATTATGCTTCAAGACAAGAAAAATTATGAAGGAATTTCTCATGAAAGCAGGATATAACATATCTTTAGACACTACCTTGAATTTCCCCCCCTCAATGACTATAATGCAGCCTAATAAGTGAACGGTTGTCTGAAACCTATAGAGCCCCATTTACATTTTTACAAAATCACCATGCATCATAGAAAGTAGCTTTGCTTCATGTTTCAATTCAAAACACATGACATGTCCAAGAACTTCACGATTCTGAATACTCTGGAGAGGTTTTTGAATGTATCTTTGTGGAAGAAAATAAATAAATGGTCAATCAATGGCAACAATAATTTCATGTCTCCGTGTTACTCCACCTTTTAGCCTAAAATCAACTTTCCTTTGTTATGCAGCATTCAGTGATGACGAAAGTTTGTTCGTATCTCAGAAGAGTACCTTGTTTCCCCAGCCACCTGAGCTATGTTAAAATACCCTTAAAACCGCCACAGGAACTGTGTCGCTGCCCTGGCATTCCATCTTCTGCACAAGTTCATAAATCTCATAATCAAAATCAATTAAATAGTATTTTGCATACTTAAGCCATCAGCAAGTACTAGAAATACAAGCATTTTTAGCAAAGCTCAAGTAACTATTTTTAATTGCACAGTTATGCAATGTATGCTTGCCTTCAAGTATAAACATGTGCTCGGAGAACACAAAGGAGCACACTTTGCTGAATCTATCTGTTCGCATTAAAAAAAAAAAAAAGTAAAGAAAATCTATTTAAGGACTGTAAGAAGGGCAAGCCACTTTACCTCAGCTGCAAATCAACCTGTTCAGTAACACAGCTCAAAAGAGAACCTCCCCCAGGAGGTGGCTTCCAGTCCTTCACCGATTCATTACCGCTGCAGTATCACAAAGAGTGTGCTACAAACCCCGTAATATCAAAAACCCCCACAGCCTCCAGTTACTGTGTTCTGGACAACTCTGTTGTAAAGGACCACGGCCGTTTGCTAGCAGCAGCAAGCAACAACAGCTTTCAACTTGGAAATTTTCTCCAATGCAGAGTTCTCTAAAGCACCACAAGCCAATTCCTTACTGCATCCTTAAGATTTCCACCCAGCTTTTACACCATCCATTAACCTGACCTATCCTCAAGATTACCAGCCTCACTACATTATATTTTAAAACTTGTTCTCAGCACTGTATAATCTATGTCCTCGTAAAACTCCACCAATAGGAAATGTAATGACTCCAAATGCAAGAACGCAGCTGACTACAGGGTGGGAGCCTGAAATGCCTGACAACTTGTTTTCAGTATGAAAGGTAACATAAAGAATCCAGAACCAACATAGTTTCTAAATTCTGATAATACACAGAAAACTCAGCCATGTAGCAGTGCCAGACAGCACTGCTCCTCATCAAGCCCCTAAAGTGCAGAATACTCAAAGGGCTGCTGCTCTCATGAGCTTTCAATTTAATCAAATTTAGGACCCGCCAAGAGATTTGTTTCATTTCTTATGTGCACTGCAGCTAAAGGAGGCTTTGAAAGAGCCTCAGAAAGGAAAGACGGCTGGAGATTAGTACTGCTGAAAGCAGCTCGGTAGTGCAAATGCTCCAAATAATCTGCATGCGTTTCACTGCCTTTGTTAGCAATTACTTTAATTGTACCTTAAAAAAGGGGGGCGCTCCCTGTTTCAATATGCCAGTTTAACATTTGTTTTCTAGTAAGGAACAAAAATCTTTTGCCTATACAAAAGGATAAAAATTGGAGTGTCATTAAAAACATCACCCGAAACATATAAAGAAAATTCAGAGCAATACAAAGGATCATGACCGGAGACTTCAACATCACCTCACAGTTAAAGATGTCAGGAGGCAGTCAACTTGCAGGCAAGCCACAAGCAGCCGTGGTTTTCTAACACGCAGAAACGGGAGCCAAGCTCGCAGTGCAGCAGGCCTTCAAAATATACTCCCTGTTCAGAGTGACAAAAGGCTAACAGTTAAGTGTACTGCGCCTATGTCATTTTTATCTCTTTACTGAGGATTTTAATTACTGCCTGAGACTGCAAAATTTATTTTAAATAATTTTAGAAGGTTTAGCCTCTTTCTTTCCAAATAAAGTAATTCTCTAATACCTAGAATGACTACAACTAGCACTTAAAAGAAGAAAAAGCTTATGATGAGATTTTTTCCAGATGAAACACAATAAAAGCCAACGCGGGGGGATTCACATCAAAGAAAATGCCTCGACTGGAACAGTCTCATCCCTCCGGAGTCACTGGTACCTCCCCTTCCCCTGCCCGCTCAGGGCTGGGATTCCGAACAGCAGAAGGTCCCACCACCCTGCGGGGGGGGGTGCACAGCAGGTACCAGCCAGGTTTCACCCAGTTACTCCATGAAGCAGTAAACTCCTCTGCCACAAGGCAGCATTTGTGTCCTGGTGATTCCCATCACTCTTGGCATCCCTGCAACCTTTCTTCCCCTCTTTGTTTCATTTCATGGGGAAAAAGTCCTGGCAAGTACAAGAGCCAGGGCAGAACTGTAATTCATGAGACAATGCCTTCTCTTCCTACAATCCGCTCACTCACCACACATCATCAACTTCCACAAGTGAAAGATGTCCGAGCAAGAAGTCTTCCTAGCTAAATAATGCTGACTTACACCCCAAATTGGCCAAACTTGTGAAATTATTTCATTTCTACTGCAGACCATTCAAGCTGATGGGGTTACTCACATACATCAAGTTAAGCATGTATGTAAACTTCTGGTGGACATGAGCATAATTACATATACTACTGAGGAAGCTAAGTATGTTTCAAAAGGTTATTCATATTTTTCAAGCCCTTTTGGTTAAAGGACAAGAGTCATCATCAATTCTAAACTACACTCAAACAAGCATTCATTGTATCTCAGAAGGAGAGCTTCTTTTCGAGATATTTTTAGCAAAAGGAAATTCAGTGAAATTAGCCAGTTCTGCCAACTACTTCCATTTTCCAATGCTGTTCAAACAGACTTCCTGTCAATATTAATTGACATTAAAACATATAACTATTATGTGCTGGAGAATTTGGAAAACTGAGTAAGACTCTTGCTTGGTGCAACATATGAAGGAAAATAAAACTTCTAGAGAGATTAAGGAAAATAATTTCTTCCTGTTCCAAGTATATATTTTTTTTTTAAGTAAAATGTTTGTAAATAGCTATAACTAACCAACATCAGAGTCTTGATTCACTCCTCCTGATGTCTGATGAACATAATCCAGATGTATTTATTTTTTCCTGTCAACTGTAACTGACGAAACTTCAGAAACACAAACAACTTCAGCCTAAACTGTATCACCTGCCTTAGCTGCTTGGAAAAGAATAACACATCAACATCTTGTATTTTACTGATTTTTTTTTTTTTTTAAATATATACAAGTAATTGAAAAGAGATTTCAGTTACTCTGAACAACAGAACCCAAAACATTTATGCAAAAAATGTTTTATAAAAAAAGGTGGTAACGTAGGAACAATCATGTCTGTGATTCTAGGAATAATACTAAACTAATCACCTGCAACTTGGTAATATAAATACTGATGCTTCCTGGTCATTATCTAATACAATATGAGGCTTGAGATAAAGGATTTCACCCAACTGCTATTCAAAGGCGGTGCTGAAAGACTTAACTGTCTCCTACCCACTACTGCAGAGCAACTTCACTACCCCTCAAAAAAAAAAAAAAAATCCACTGCCAATATTACTTCACAGCTTAGTAAAGATTTTCCCCCAACTGCATCCTTTAACTTTGATTTTATATGAATAAACTCTCGAGCATTTTGCATGCAGCTCTCTGATGAAATGCCACAGCAGGTGACGGGCACCAGGGCTGCACTGGTGCTGGGGTGACCAAACCAGCCAGCAGGA